TATCTGTAGTGACTCTGCTGTAGTTCATTAGGTTGAAGTGGCCCGCGTCCAATCCCAGCAGCAGCAGAGCACCCAGAGGGGCAGCCTTACAACTTGCTGAACACTGAATGCAGCCCTAATGAGGAGGGTTTCCATGAGGAAGCAGAGGATTTTGGTGCAGAGCCTCAGATTTGTCCCCGCTGACATTACGGCGCTGAGCTCAGCAATCCAGCAGCCTTTGCGACTCCCAGGAGAGACTCGTTCTGTGTGAGGGCAGCTCACTGCAGAGCCAGCTCAGCCCAACACATGCCTCATGCAAGGGTGCGCTCAGGGAGCAAGGCCAGGGCTGCTGCAGGCCGGAGTGCAGTGCCCCAACTGGGCCATCATAACCAGACCACTGGATGGGGTCTCTCCACTGTGGTGGTGCACAGCACTGCTCTACACCACAGCTGCAACCTCGCACAAAGAAGCATCCGCTTTCCTCTCCATTCCCTTTGGGCACATGAGGATCCATTTTCTTTCCTGTTGTAGTCCTGGTGGGGATGTGGCTGGTGATGCTGGTTTGATTGTTTCTTCATTTCAATAAAGGCTCTTGCACCTGCCCGGCCTCATGTGGTTTGTTCATCCTCCCTTCAGACAGGGAAGAGGATGCTGAGCCAACCTCATCGCTTCTAGACCCCATGCACACTGCCATGGGGTCAACCCCCTTGGGATGGTCCCTGCCCCTGCCAGTCTGTTCCCACCCATCTCTTCCTCAGCTAAGGGAGCCCTGCCCCAGCCTGGAGGCAAATTCAGCACTAGGCCCAATGGAGACAAGCCTGCCAGGCCTCACTGCAGCTGTCACAGAAGCACCACAAGGACAAGGGAGCCACAAGGCTGAACCACGACCACCCAGCTCTGCAGAGCCAGCAAAGACCTTCCAGGGCCAGCAACTCCCTGCTTCTCTCCAGTCTCAACAATGACCCACCAAAGGGACACTCACAGAAAGCCCAATGTCCTCTTTAATCTGTCCATGCTTTGAGATGCCAAAAAGAAATTAACATAATCTAATCTGAAGCCAAATCCCACTGAACCCAGCACACACTGAGAGAAGTGAGTGGCCCCTTCCTTTTCCCCCCATGGAATTCATAGGCCTTCTACCCGCTCCATAGGCCACCAATATGGCAGAC